GGGGGGAGGACCAGGGAGGATGATTCAACCACTCAACCACTAGATGTCGCTGAAAGCAACAAATCCTACACACTGTGCCTTTAAAATACAGTATGTAATATTTACTAGCACAGTTTTTTTTCCTTTTAAAAGGGACATATGCAAAATAATTTTTTTTAGCCATTAAATGCATTTTGTTATGTACTTAGTYTCTAGGAGTGCAGAAAACTTGATTTTAGTCTCTCCAAGTTCTGCATAGATATCTTCATATTCTGCTTAGGTCATATTATAATAACTTTATTTATAAAGCGCTTTCAGACAAAGGACTGAACAGTTACAAAAAGATCAAATCAACATAAAACAAAGGTTGTAAGAACAAGTAAAACATTGAAAAAGCATAAAATACAAATGTAAAATTTAAGACACATAAGACAAAGTGTACAGGTGGGTCTTTAGCTTGGCTTTAAAATCTTCCACGGAGCAGGTCAGCCTGATGTCTGGAGGGAGATCATTCCACGATAAGGGGGCACAAGAGAAAAAAGCACGACCACCGATAGTTTTTCGCCTGACCTTAAGGATTACCAACAGACCAGTGCCCTGAGATCGGAGAGCACGAGATGGATATAAGGGTGGAGAAGGTCTGAAAGGTGGAGAGGTGCTAGACCGTGTAAGGCCTTACAGGTGAGAAGCAGCACTTTGAAATCTGCACGAACATGGGAGGGCAGCCGGTGGAGAGATGACAGCATCGGAGTGATGTGATCGTATTTCCTAGTTTTAGATAGATCAGCACAGGTTCCAAGTGCAAAAGGCATATACATCTGCAAATCATCTGCATAACAATGAAAGGCCACATTAAATGAATGCAGAAGAAGCCTGTTCAACTTTCTCTATTTTMTGTGTCGTTTTGTGAACGATCACGTCACMGTTTGAGCAACAGATTTGCCAAATAAGGTCTGGATTTACAAACGAAGCATTTTGTCATCTTCATTCTCCTCTGGCTCCGGGTCAGACTCTGGCTCCAACATGTAAGGCTGGATGGACTTCTGTCTATTTATCAAAGTACAATGAACAGAGTGTAAAGCACTTCATTAGGATTTAAAGAGACAGCCTCAAAACGAGTTGATCTGAGACACACTTCAGAAAAACTGCAGTAAAGCCAGCCTGCACTCCGACGAAGACTGTGTTGTGCACGCTAACAAGTATTACGGTAGTAACGCTTGCGAGTTAATTTAAAAATAAAAGCTTCTTTATTTCTTTGTCTTTATTGCAACTAAACTGTTAACTTCCAAAAAAAACACTCTCACTTCAGCGTAACTGAAGACAACAGCTTATGGTGGCAATACATCTGAATAATCAATGTTTGTAGGGCTTTTATTCTCAAATGCCACATCAGATATTGCCCAAAATTGGGGAGGAACATCTGGAGGTGTTGTGCAGTTACCCTGAAGTGAGAGTGTTTCTTGGAAGGTAACAGTTTAGTTGCAGTAAAGACAGCAACTTAAGATTTGTCAAATATAATTTTTTATATAAATTTGTTTTTATGGGTTACAAAATGACAGCTTTTATTTTGAAATTAACTCGCAAGCGTTACTACCATAATACTTGTTGTTAGCGCGCACAACACAGTCTTCGTCAGAGTGCAGGCTGGGTTTACTGCAGTTCAGAAAACGGGTGAAAGAGGGGATTGTGGAGTTACAATAAGGAGGAATTCAGACCAAAGCACAGCAGTTCCACTTTATATAGACCCCAACTGAAGGATTTAGATGTGAAAAAGAAGGATTTAAATGTATGATATGCCCAAATATTCTTGAGTTAGACCGTGACGTGTGTGTTAGACTTTAGAGATTCTATAATTAGGACTGAGAACAAGATCTGAGCAGTTTCTGTTTCTAAGGTCGTCATTTTTCCTCCTCTCTGCCAGGCCAGCGCGCAATAACTCCACACTGCCTTCAGAGGACTCCAGATCAAACAATCACACGATCCGGCAGCCTGCCGGCCCCGACGGCACGCAGGGCTTCCGACAGCACAGATAGGCAGGCGCCCAGGGCGACCCGGCCGTCGACGGCAGAGGGGTTCGGAGCGACCCGAGATCAAACCCAGCGCCGCTTTCTCGACACTTCCTTCCTTCAGTTCCCTTCCATCAGACGTGCTGCGACTGTGGCTGCGTTGTTGCCCCGCTCTCCCTTCTCGCCGTCGGGGAGCGAGGAGCTCCAGGAGGAAGTGGAACGGAAACGAGCTCCCCTCTCTCCTCCTCTCAAGTCTGTTAGGCACTGTGATTATGGACATATTCTGGACTCACTGTGATCATCCCCCTTCCTTTAAGAGACACCCCTCAGCTCCAACGTTATCCTCATTCTGTYCCCCAGCGGCTCCATCAAAGACCGCCAGAAGGGCAGAAACAAAACAAAATAAATAAATAAATAAAGACTTAAAAACCAGTTCAAAGATGAGGCGATAAGCCGCCATATCAAAACCAGAGCCTCTTCCTGCTCAGCAGCTTCTTCCCAGCAATAATATCAAACATCACTTTTTTTTGTTTTTAATTTTTCAAATGGTGGCTTGTTAACTTTTAGGTTCTTTTATTTTCTTGTTTGTCTTTATCATCGTTAGGGGATGCACTGATATTTATTGAAAACAGATTTAACATCAAGAATCTTTATTAAATCAGTATTAAGATAGTAAGTTTAAAAAAAATAATAAAATCCTGCAGTTTTTATAAAATAGGAATTATATATTTTTTTGATACTTAAAAAAAGTGGAATATTTTTGGTTATTCCCATCTAGTTTAAATGTACTTCCTGTACTGCAGCAGGGAGTATTTCACAGAAAAAGTTGCCACTAATGCTGAAAACTGTTGAAAGTATCAGTGCACCCTGAGAGTGTAAAAATGCCATTTGTTTAAAAAAAACGGTTTGGGGTTGTGTGCGTTATGAGGTATATCTGATAGGTTTTTACTTTTTTTTTTTTTAAAGCTTTTTAGTTGTTTTCTTTGTGGCAAATGTTTATTTAAATAWGATAAAAAGGAGAGTTGATTTAAATCAGTTTTAAGTAGCTTTTTTTTTGGTCTCTTTTTATGAAACAGCAGCAGTATAAGARCAGTATTTTAAACGATATAAACCAAAAGCCCTTTTTATGAGTTGAAAGTAAAACTCTTATTTAAAGGTGGCGTTAAATTTGGAGCGTGGGATGGACGTACTGCTGTATTTTGCAAGCTTTTCTGTTGCGCCGCCACCCTTTATTTTATTTTTTTTAAACGGTGTTTCTTCTCGTCCTCCACTGAAGTACATCACGTCAGAACTCAGGTCCATGTGAATGAAACTGAATGAATGAAATGAACCGAGATTGTATTTTTTCCAGCGAGTTTTAAGAGCTCAAACAACTCATGTCTGTGTTTAGGTTGGCACTTAGAAACTGTGCTCTGTAGAGCAAATTTTAACTGTAACAACGTCCACATCTTCACTTAAATTAGTTATTTTTTTGTTTGTTTTGTTGGAATCTTGGTCTTAGAACTGTACTCTGTGTAGTTGTTTTTCACTAAACGATGACTCACTGATAAAATCAARCAGGACGTGAACCAAAAAAAGGACTTGCTTTCCTTGGACCATCATGCCCAATCAATGTTCATGTTCTTCACCTTTAACTGTTTAGAGGAGATCTCAAAGCCATATTTAGTAGTGCAGGATCATCAACACAAAAAGCTTTTTACRGTAGTTGTTGAATTCAGCTTGTGCCTCTTRTTTYGAATCTTTACTTCCTGGTTTATTTTTACTGCTTTAGTTCAATAAAATGAAAATATCTTGGGGGGGAGTATTTGTCGATATTGTTAAAAAAGATTTTAGTTTAGGAAACCTCGYGACAGAACAGACGGGCTTAGATGAGCTCAGAAAGGAAACTGCCTGTAAATACTGATTTAATAAAATGATTTACTAAAAGTCTGGTTTTCAGCTTGCAGTTTATTCAACTAACTTGGAGTGGGCGGCACTAATCTTAAAATGTAGTTGCACTAACCCTAAAGCACTAACTCAGACATTTAGGTTCCCTAATTCTAATGCACTGAAAAAGTTAGCAAAAGCTAATTCTAAAGCACAAATACAACCCAGTTGACCCATGATGGAACATTCGTTAGAGTCAACAAGAGTCAATATTTCCTGTGTGCAGAATATTGACAATATCATCAATATGTCATCCAGGGGATAAGTGACATCTTCACCCTCAGCTGTTAACAATGATGTTAACATTTAAAGACCTCAGTTAGTGCTTTTAAATTTAGTCCATAAATTTAGCAATTTCTAATCTATTAATGAGTTTTTAAAAAAATGGCAAAAACCTTAAAGCACTAATCAGAAAATTAGTTACCCTATTAGYGCTTTAGTGGAACTGTGCCCATACATCATGTAGCGTTTCCAGAACACTGAGACAACAAGTACATTAAAAAAATATATTATTAGTGCATGTAAACATATCTTTGCATTGTTGGCCATTTTAAGGAATGTGGCTCTATCCGAAGTGAACGACTGAACGATCTTCTGGGGTCAGAGTCTGATTTAGCGGCGGCCATGATGTGGCGTCAGACAGAAGGAGCTGTTTATACTGCTTCTTCGACGGACGCTCTCCTCGCAGCCGACGGAGGCAGTTCAACACACAACCCGAATCTATCAGCATCTGGAGGAGAAACAGTTTACAAACCAGAGAAGAGAGTGATGAAAAATGTTTGTCTCACAGGTTGAAGCTTGATTTATAAATATTCAAAGATGGTCAAACAGAACATGGTTATGTGTTAACGCTGTCAAAGATTTCAGATCATATTTGTGCAAATGACCTCAAAATGAGTTATTACAYATTTCATAAATGTCTATTTTCACATCATACTTGGATATTTCAAGTTAAATAAAATTAAACGTATTTACACATAAATTAATCAGATGGAGGGAAAATACAGTATAAAGATATAATGATCCCACATGGGACTAAAACCGAGTTTGTTCTCCATATAAATGTTCAGTATTTATTGATTAAATCAACAGCTGCCATTACAATATACACTCACCAGCGACTTTATTAGGTACACCACGCTAGTAACGGGTTGGGCCCCCTTTTGCCTTCAGAACTGCCTCAATTC